AAGAAACTGCACGTATGAAAGGTGTCGATGAGGTTCGTTAAAAGTTTACATATAAATTGACCTTATATTTTTCACTAAATTCTCATTTATTAATAAACTGATTCTTCAATTAGGTACTGACAGATAGAACGTATAACTCACGTAAGAAGATTTTTAATTAATTATTTGGATATTAAAAGTTTTTTAATCAAACTCCTTATTTATTTAACTAGATCCAATAAAATTCACGGACAAAGGTTATCATCCTAAAATAGGTGCTTCGATTTGTGGTAAATATTTAAGTTTAAATGTTTCTTCATCAGATTCTTATTTATTAATTTTTTTCATTATCTTCCATTTCCAATATATAAATTATTTGAAAAGCTCCAAAGTACAATTCTGTGCAGGTAGGCCAAAAAATTTACTTTTACTTTTGTTGAGCAATTTTTTATTAAACTTTTCTCATAGCAGAGGGTCAACGTTCCATGGCGAATGCGTGGTAGTGGTAATACCCCTATACTTTCAATATGGTGATTTGATAATTTTTATTATTCTTATAATTTCATATTTTAGTGCAGGATGACGGTAGCGCACCATTGAGAATGGATGATGTAATCAAGGATGCGATGATGGTAGGTTAAAACTTTAAATTTTGTTTTACGTTTATTTACGTTTATAGATGCATCATTTTATAATAATTATAATTTTTCTATTTTCACTACTAAAAAGAATGAAGAACAATTTCTAAGAAATGAAGGTAATATCAAAATTATTTATGAGTTTGCGGAATTTGATTATATAAAAAATTTTTGAATTATATCTTTGTAGAAAAAAGTTATAACAGTCAAAAAATATCGGTTGATATCAATAAGAAAGAGCAATCTATAGGTAGAAAACGTTTTTGAATAAGTTTCATATATCCCATTTACTTTTAAATATTTTATTTCCAATCAAGCTAAAGAAGATACTGTAAAATATAAACCAAAATTTTCCATTCCATTTTTAAATTGGTAAAAATTCAGTCCTACGAGTATACGCAAAAATATAAATGAAATGAACATTAAATGTGAAATCAAATATTTGGATTCAAATCGTTTTACAATCTTAAATCTTAAAAGGAAAACATACAATCATGGGTGTTCAGGAAAAATAATCTTAAACTTATTTAAAACTTATTAAAAAATATAAATTTGAAAACAAAACATACAATCATGGGTGTTCAGGAAAAATAATCTTAAACTTATTTAAAACTTATTGAAAAGTATAAATTTGAAAACAAAACATACAATCATGGGTGTTCAGGAAAAATAATCTTAACTTATTTAAAACAAAATCTTCAATCATTTATTAAATTGTATTAATTGAATATGTATACAGAAAATATTACTCAAATCAACATTATAGAAAAATAAATTAATTATACAGCAATTTAAGATGTACTTTGGCTTTAATACTCATCACGTATATATTATATGTAGTGTAATAAAAATAAATTGTAGGGTTTGTTTGTGTTATTGGAGGCAAGAAGAACGAACTAGAGATCCTCAGCAAACCACTTGCCTAACAAACTACTTGAGTTTGAATTTATTTGTTTTATCTTTATTTTATTTTCTTTAGATTTTTTATGTATTCTAAGCACTCGCTTTAAGGCGCAAGCATTCACTCACACACTCTATACATAAGCACAATGTGAATAAAAACTGCTTGTATATGGTGGGGTCTTGTAAAATTTTATATCTTTCAAAATAATAGAAAAACTCGTATCGCAATACTGGACTGTAAGAGATAGAAAATTAGCCAGCATATTTTCAAATTTGGTTACAGACGTTTTGTTACCATTTCAAAAAAATTTATTTCCATTCATTGCTTTAAATTGGAATAGCGAAAAATGCAAACGTTTATGAAAAATTATATTCAATAGTAAAGAAAAAAGTGTATTTCACAGATGTATTCTTTAATACTGTAAATTTCACTAAAGTATTGAACTAAACGAGTTCGCGCCAAATACAATTGGTTGTTCACCTTAGCATATCAAAAGTAAGAATGACACGATTGCTAGAATTAAGAACTAGAATTAATTTCAAAAAAAACAAGTTTACACTAACATGTAAAAACAATCAGGCTCATAGATAACTCGGTTGCTGTTTTGGTCCTTCATAATAGAGAGGGAATTTGAAAATTTGACATTTTATTGGTTATAAATATAAGTATTGTAGTTTCAAAACTTACCAAGAGAATTGCGGGATGAATTCATATAATGGTCTAGTTTGGAGTTATTACCGATATCATCTAACTCAAATTGACGAAGACGTACTGTTCCGGTTATTTCGTCTCCCATATTAATTGAGCTACGATCGTGTTTTTTAACAAATGAGCAACATTTTCCACAAATGTTTCCCATTGTAACAAAACTATTATAATTATAATTTCAAAAAATATATAATTGTTCACTAACAATTCATACAATAGACCCCTGGATCACTTTTAACAAATTCTTCAATACTGTTATAATCACACTTAATTACTTTAGCTGATTTTTTATTCTTACATCTTATAGAACTAAACTACAGATTTTTGAGTAAATCTTTAGTGATGCTTAACACTACGTAATCATTTGTGAACTAATCAAAGTGGATTTGTTAAGTTAAATTGTTTACAATTAATACAGAACTTCATTATTAATTCAATCGAATATTAATAAATCAAATTGTAGTAAAGCGGTTTTGAAGAAGTGAGAAGCGCAACTGTATTCTTCAGAGACAACGCAGACACAAAGCTGAGTGTCAATCAAAACAGGCACGAAGGTGATTTGAGCTCATCGTGACTTAAATAAACTAATTAAAAAGGTTTAAACAATAAAAAAATATCATAATAAGTAACAGTTGTTTCAACAGAAAATAGGTAAATATATTTTAATTACTTAAAGTCCAATGGAATGTGTGACGAGAAACGGACTGAAATTTCAATCCCTAAAAATTTCAATGTCGTTTAAGTACAATTTAATCAAAGAAAAATTGAAATATTTTTGTAATAAATCATCGTACCCTTAACATTTAATATGAAAAGAATGTGTTAAGTTTCTTATAATGTTCGATCAAAAGTCGAATTAATTTGACAATTGATATCCAATAATTAAATGCTCAAAATTCAATACTTTGTGGTTTTGAAATTTGTATAAATTAAGTCGATTGTCAAGTGTGATTGTCGTTTTCCTTTATTTGAAATCGATAGATTTTGAAAATAGACACATTGAATGAGTCCTGAAATATTGTATAAAATAGTTTACTTTATGGATGGAAGATGAAACTCTACATTGAATTACTTAAGTTCCATTTTCACGTTAGGAAGTCTGTATGTGAGTCTGTCTTTTCACGATTGCACAGAATTTTGATATAAAAACTTAAAAAATGTGTAATGTATTATAAACATTACAAATTTATAACGCAGCACCAATCTATTCTCCTTCTGGAATATATTCAGTAAATGTACTATTTCTAGGCAGCTTTATGTCGCAGATGAAGTATGATATATTTGGAGTATTCAATAACTCTACGATGGAACAGATAATATATAATATTCATCGTTAAATAATTAATGGCGGACCATTAATAATATACATAATACACATTTTTATTTTTATTATACGACGTAACACATTTCTCATTATCATTACATTCCTCTAACATGAGGAATGTGCTACTATCCTGACAAAACTGATGAAATATCATAGGTAAAATCAAAAAAAATTATACTACATCGTAAAATAAATTTATCTTCAGTCTTCATTCAAAATTGTGAGCAGAATTTTCGAATTGGACAGAATTAATTGACCTTCAGATCGAATTTAAATAATGTTTGTTTAATACACACTTATCTGTGGCCGCTGAGTAATTACGCTGCTTATTTCTAAAACTTTATTTTTACGTTCATTTGATTAATCCATAAGTGTATATGTTAGATCAATTTAATGGTGTTTTATTGAATTTTATCAAGTTATCTTAACGCTCTTGCTCTTTAGGCATTGCATTTGGGCATAAAATTGCAAAGCCATGAGTACGCGTGACCGAGTGTTAAAAATTACGCCAGTACATTCTTCCATATTTCCAACATTGTTTAGCAACTGCATAATACTTTTTAATACTAATAATAATAATAATAATAATACTTTTATAATTATACAATATTTTAAAATATGCTCAATTTTCTATTATATTTTCAGTTATTTATTTAAAATTGTCCTTTAAGGTATTTTGCAGTAACTTCAAGATAGTATGTATTCATTTAAAATGGCTCTTGATATAATATAGTTAATTAAGCTTCGAGCTTCGATAAATATTAAGCATAATTTTAAAAGTGCTTTATAGATCTACGTGGTAATTACTAGCCTAATCGACTTCTTCTTAAGTAAGCATTTCAGCTCAATTTCGTCTAGTAATATTAGACCAGGTATACTTAGCCAGACCAGGTATACTGGCCAAACATATCGTCCAGTAAAGAAAAAGGTGTTCCCAACGCAATAAGCGAACCTTCATTGGAAATTCCAACGAATATTGCAATCATATGTCAAAAATCATATGTAAACAAATATTCAAACATAATTCAAGAATTTCATAAATTTCAAAATTGGGAATAAGAAAAAATTTCAGTGATGTATTTTGAAATTTTCACCATTTTTACCATTCCTTTTAATTCTATACTCATTTTAATATTCCATTTATATTAATTATTTATTTTAATACAAAATATTATGTGCACATACGCAAGATTTGCTATATGCCAAAACGTAACACTTGACAGATTGGAACAGTGATGCCAATATCTCGCTTAGCGAATAGAAGTCTCATGCATTTTTTCCCATATTAGCGAGCCACCGAAAAGGCCTAATATATAATCATTTGATGGTTATATATATATATATTATATTTTTAATTTTTATAAATTATTTTCTGCACAGTAGTCATACTATTTTTAAAATATGATATTCAATGTAGTAATTAAACACAATATATTTAATAAAAAAATTTCTTTAACATTAATTAAACTGTTAAAATCGTTAAGTAGTAAGAATTGAAGCATGTTAGAATAATAGTATGAAAATAGCTCTACATTTACGAACACATCAAGTTTGACATTAAAATGACAGGCGATGCCAAAAACAGATGTGACATATCTATTGTTGTAAATAATCTTTTTTTTTAATTTAAACAAATAAGACTTCTGATTTATCTTTTAATGATTTAAGTCATATTTTTAAAAATTTTCGTTATATAAAGAAAATAAACATTAACCAAGAGTTAATAAACGAATTCGCAAATGTCAGAGCAATTGGAACAACAAGCGGAAGAACGCGAAGCGTTGCAGTCCATTTACGAAGGCGATAATGCTTTTAAAGAATTGGATAAAGCCACTTACCAATACAAAGTATAACAACAAACTTATTAAACATTACAAATGTTAATTTAACTAACACTTCTTATAGTATGGTGAGGACAATGATTATAAATCTTTTTTGGTTGAAATAAAATGGGGTGAGAACTATCCGAATGAACTACCTGAAATTAATATGGATACATTTTATAACAGAACTTTGTAAGTATTTTGATTTATTTATTTGATGGCAGTAACAGTTAATGATTAATAAATAATTTATTTATGCACATATCAGAGTTTCTACCGTTAAGGAGAAAATTAAAGCTGCATTGCTTCAGGAAGGTGAGTTATGGATAGGCTGTGGTATGACATATACGCTGTTTGAATGCCTTAAAGAACGTATCGAAGAATTAACTGCTGACCAACCTGAAAGTTCTACCGCGCAAGCTGTGGATTTTGAAAGCGTTGGTGTCAGTTCAATTAAGATATCGGATAATGCGGATACTAAGAAAAAGGAACCAAAAAAAGAGCAATTAACTAAGGCGCAGAAACGTCGTCAGTGGGAACGAACTGACCATCGTGGTGATCGTCCACGAGGCTGGGATTGGGTAGATATAGTTAAGCATTTATCACAAACTGGTAACAAACAAGATGATTCAGCGACAACTCAGAATGTGGTTTTGCAGTCACTCAACAGTTAATCGCAGAATATATTTTTCAATGGTAACCTGAATTATAATTCATAAACAAAGACAACAAATGCATATTTTACATTTAATTACTCAACTTGTAAATACTGATGATATTTAATAAAAATTGCAATATATACAAATAGAAATCTGCATGACTTCGTATTTTTATATTATTTCTCATATATGTATGTATATACATAAATTTACATGTATAAATAATTTTGTTGATATGTGCAAATGCCGAAAATAATTAGTTGCATAATTGTTTATAAACAATTCAAAATCTCTATTTATTATAGCATGTGGCGCCAATTTATGGAGAGATATATATGATTTTCATATATAAAATCGTTGTCAATTTGACACCAATTCGCATGTGTACTATAAAGTACTATAAAGTTGATGCCGCTTTTAATTTGTTTGCGGCGTTAAATTTCAGTACAGCTAATTAAATACTCGAGAGCTAGAGTTTTTTAATTTGAGTAATTTTATTTAATTAAAATCAGAAAAATGGGCTAATAGAATACATGGGATGTAAAAATTGTATATATTACATAAATTCTGCTTTACTAATTTGGAAGGTATTATAAAATGATTAGTGAATGCATGAAAAAGTGTTGTAAGTGTTTGAAAACTCTGTGCAAAATTTTTGACGCCGTCACATTTTGTTAGTGGCTACGACTTTTGTCAGGTTTGTTTCATTTGTTTTCATTTGTAACAGATTTGCTTTGTTTATGTCGTACAAACACGTTTATGATTTAAAACGTGCTTTACATGCTTGTTAATTTGGTTCGTAAAACAAAATAAAACTAAATTAAGGATGGAAACTATTAATGATGACGATTTGAAAGTAGGGAATCCTAAAAGCGCAAATGAAATGGTAGGACTAAATGAAAATGTTGTCAATGGACAGCGACTTGAAACAAATACTCAAATGCAAAAAAGTCAGCAAATAAAGGCAGACAAAAACTCCAAGAATTTTGATGCTATAACTAGTACCGCTTTGAGTGCAATGAGTCAACAAATACAAACAATAGTGGAATGCAAGGAAGATAATGCTATAACTGATATGGAAACGGTGGGAAATCAGCTAACTCTAGTCGTATCAGAAAGTTGTGAAAAATCTGTTGCAATTGCTAGGACTGATTTGGAGGCACAGACTGAAGAAGACAAAGCTAAGATATTGAATACAGTTGAGATATCAGATAAAGTTTGTTATACTAAATTGCAAGAGGATCTAAATTTAAAAGGGATTGATAGTGCCGTCAATATAAAAGGAAGTAGAGAAGCAATAGTGGTGAATAAAGCGAATGAAATAATAGGGGACTTTAACGTAGAGCTTGATACGAACATGGAAGTAGATACACAAACTGTAGCAGAGAAGAATATTGAAGCGAGCATTAATGTGTTTGAAAATACTGCATTGGAGGCAGGAAAAGAAGTAACAGCTGTAGCTGATGTGAGCGTTACAGAAGAGATTATGAGTGAGAACTTGATTGTGGATAGTATTGTGGAACATGAGGTAAAACAAAATGAATGCACTTTAGCTACCATTGCTGATATTACAGATTATATAAAAACGACAGCTGTAACTGTAACTGTAGCCACTGATACAAAAATCATCCCAACAGTTCTAGCAGACAGCGTTACAGAAAGTTCTATGCAAACAAATATTGTATCAGAAAAAGCAAATTCAGTTACCGTAGATCCAACTTATAATTTAACTGCAAATAGGAGTGATATCGGTGAGTATTCTGTCTGTTTAGTTTTACCATTCCTAATAACGATTATATATTTATATAGTAAAAAATAGCCTCAGTCTGTTGGCTGATTACATATCTGATGATAGTGAGCAAGACGATATAAAAGTTGAAAATCAATGTACAGAATCAGATGGTGATTCTATTATTGAAGTACCTGTGACTTCAAATAAAACTTATCGCTCACAAGTTGTCACGGTAAATTCAGAAAGCGATAGTTCATCATCTTCTGAAACGGATGATGAAGGGGATTACTTATCTGATATACGTAAAAATATTGATAAAGCTATTCAAATTGACAGTGATGATGGTGATGTTGATGGTTCTGATAACGTTCCACCCAAACATGCAAAACCACTTAAAACAAAAGGTGAACTTTCACTGGAAGATTTACCACCAATTGAAGATTTGCATATAACAGTACCAGAAGAAGAGTGCGTTGAGTTGGGTGTCATACACTCAATTATTGATCAACTGGTTTTGGTTAGTGTTTTACCAAACTCAGTGTTACTTGACCTCGATACTGTATTATTTCTTGATAAAGGTAATAAAGTTTTGGGTCAAGTTTTTGATGTTTTGGGTCAAGTAGCAGATCCTATGTATTGCATACGCTTTAATTCCAATAAACAAATAAAAGAAAAAGGCATAAAAATTAATGACAAAGTTTATGCAGCACCGAAAACGGAATATACACAATTTGTTGTACTTGCAAACTTAATGAAAATACGTGGTTCTGATGCATCTTGGGAGCATGATTTGGAGCCACCACCAAAGTTTTTAGATTATTCAGATGATGAGGAGGAACGAGCATCGAAATATCTTTTGCGTAACAAAGATAGACCGATGGAAAGTAAAATTTTCAACAAACGCTCTCGTACTGGTGAAGAATCTCAACCAACAACTAATGAGGATGGTCTTTCAAATAATAATGTTCAAGAACGTGGCCGTTATCACGCAAATAGAAGACAAGGTAATTACGGTGCAAATAATCGACCACATCAGTCCCCTTCACCATCTCCGCAACGTTATAACTCTGGTAGTTGGCATTCAAACTATTATCCATATGCACATCCAAGTGCAGCACCAGGACAACATTATTATGCACCGCAAAACTATTATCGCTACGAGAGTAACATGCATGCGCGACTCCCACCACCATCTTCACAAGGCTACAATTATTATCCACCACCACCAATGGCTTATCAAATGACACCACCTATGGTTCAATCGATGATGTCTCCCACACATCCTCATGTGCCACAACCCACGCCACAAAATGTCTCACCAATGTCCCCACCAATGACTCAACAAGTTCTCCCAACACCATTTCAATCTTTGCAACAACCTGCAACTCAATATGTAGTAAATCCATATGCGGTTAGACCATCTGTTTTAGAAGGCAAAAAGTCGTCTAATTCTACTGACAATCAACAATAAATAAACGTAGATCTGTAAGGGAACCAAATGCGTGAGATGTTGCGGAGATATTGAAAAGTACAAATAAATATATTTTTCAACTTTATAGTTAAGTATATTTAAAAAATATATTTTTTTTTTTAAGATGTTTTTTTTTATATTTTTTTGCTTTATTTAGTAAAACACATGTTTCAAAAACAGTAAATTTTGGTTTGTTTTCTGATTATTATTTATCATTGTAATTTAATTTTTTATATTTATTTTATGTAGCAAACATTAATTTACTTCTGAAATTGACGATGTTACTGTCGCCAATATTATTACATCTTAGTGACTCACATTCAGGACATATAATTTGTATTCAGAATTGGAAATATCGTCGTCTGCTCTCTGGCTGGCTGGTGATTTGGTATTTAGAAGATTTAGTTAACTAATTAAGAAAAACTTAATTTAGGCTAGTACATTTAGGCTTTAATTTCCGGTAACCTCTAACAAATAAATAGGCCCTTGGTATAGGCAAGACATTTTGTGTACTCCGTAAAATAAAGGAATTTTGGACCCTAACAAGACTATACTAACTAGTTTTTAAAACCACATGTTTTTAGCGGTTTGTTGCCCTAGTTCTGATCATATACTTAAAATGCATTTCATAGTACCGATTGGTAAACATTGGCAATATTTAGGCAAAATTTATTTACTTAAAGACATGTTCTTATGGAGAGACTTGTTTGGAAATGGTTGTGAAGCTGACTGGGCAACAACAAAACAGTTTCGTGTGGTATATAGTCTTACTGCATACTAGACCAAACCATACAAAATATATACAATTGCCTATAACGGTTTCGGATTTTGTTAATATTAAAAACATTATAACATGCCATTAAGGAGTATATCAGATTTCGAGAAACAAATTTTAATCTCTAAAAAGTTGTGATTAAAATGATAGCAATGAATTATGGTTTATATTTCATAGAGCACAGGAGTATAAAACGAAAAGTTTACATTGATGAGCTTCAAATTTAATAAATTTGAATTATTTTACTTATTCTTATAATGCTCCCATTCTTTTAATTTTGGATAAAATACTAAGATTAATATTAGCTAAATGCTTATGAACTAAATTTAAAACTATATCATTGCGGATATAACGAACTTTAGGGAATATTTAATGATATCAACATTTGCATAGTTCCATGATCATATGTTAAGAAATTGAAAACATATTAGCTTTGGGTTCGTTAATTTGCAAATAAATAGTTTTATTATTATATAGTCAATCGATTATCTTTCAAATTATAAGACATTATTTAAGGATAATCACCCACCATTTCTAAATCATAGATGAACACGATTAGCAATTATATGTTATGAGCAGTTATGATGTTATAAGAGTGATGAATAGGACTAAATTTGTAACGTATTTTCCTGTCTATTATAAATGTATTTTCCTGTCTTTATAAGAAAATTATTCTGTGCTTCCAATCGTTAGGTCATGTGCAATCAAGCAATTTAAATTTATTAAACTCTACCTTGTGATGTCTTGTACTCATTGTTTCGGAAAATATTCATTAGGTTCAGAGCATATTAGAAGAAGTAATAGGTAGAAGTAATTCTACAATCGGATGAAGTAAAAATGTCTTAATAAAGAAGACTTTTTAATTGGTTTTTGTTCTCATAAGTTACAACAGTTATTCCTGTTTTGAGCGTTTTTTCAACGTGTAAATAACAAGAAAAACAGATATAAATAGTTGTGTTGCGTTTAAACATATAATAAAATAAACTTGTGTAATTTATAATTTAATGGGAAAGTTGCCCAATTTGTGAGATTATTCATTCATAACAAAGCCAGCTTTACGTATGAAGTACGTGTTTCCATAACTTATCTTCAACATAATAGTTTATATTACAATTTTTATTTCTGAAGTGAAAAATGCTTTTCATTTTTTGTGCGAAGTTTCCAAAAAAATATTATTAGATTTATATACCAAATTAATCTTAAAGCTTCTTTGATAAATTTTTAAATATACATACACACGTATGTATTTAAGTCGAGAGTCAGATGCGAATAATATAAATAAACTGATATTATATTTGTTTATTTATACAGAACCTTTACTAATTATCTAATTGCCATTTTATTGTTGTAAAGCTTAGATCAGCAATTTATTGATGATTAATACCAAATTGTCTTCATTCAAAACATGCAATATTAGTCATAAAATTTTTATAGGGTTTTAACACTGTTCAACAAGTATCTTGCGTATCTGTTATGAGTAAAAATAATAATATTCGAATACTTCATATACATGATATATGGTTGCATTAAATATACGTATTTTTTTTACAATATAAAAATTTTTCAATCTGCATTTTGTGTTTTCCCATAAATTCAATAGAAAAATTATTTAAGTCTGCTTTGTTATCCATCAATATAAGAAACTTAAAAGCTTGACATTGAAATTGCTATTGTTGCGTTAGTGTTTATCATATATGATATTTCGATTTGTCTAATAAAATTTGTAAATTTGCATATGACATCATCGTATTTAACAATTTTTGCAATTATTGAGTATAGTGACAAAAAAATGTTTTCAATTCTTTTTCATATTTTCCATGCGACCGAATTTTTCATAATTTCCTTGTAGACTAGTGTGGAATGTCAGAAACAGCTGAGTATGTTGCGCAAAGAGGGAGATTATGTGACGTTGCGTTAAGTTATTTCCTCCGCGTTTTTTCTTTTCTTTTATTTTTCCTTGAAACAAAATTAAATAAAACAAACAGTAAACGAAAAATAAACAAACCGATTAATAGCAACATCAGAAAATTACTAAAATTTAAAACAAATAGAATTAAAAAGTGTATTGAGAATTAATGAACAAAACAAATTCAAATAAAAATGTATTTATAAATCACTTTAATTAGAAAACAAAAAAACTTCTGCGCGTCCTTTCCCTCCTTTTGTTTTGGTTACATCGCTGGTATTTTTATCGGCAACGGAATGTCAAGCAAGATAACACATGTAACGGAATGTGGACGACCGACAGAATTCCGTAAGTTCTTACGTGACCTTAACAATGACGGAGGTTGTAGTGGTACCGGCGTTGGTGTCGAAATGAGAAATTGTGTGGCACGCAGCAACAATGATACATACCCAGTTTCGGCGGATGAATACGAAGCTGAGGTTATTATGGCTACTTGGAATCATATACAAGCGATACGTTGCCCACGTCCCTTTCAAATACAACTCTTACGTGCTGGCATAGCGGAAGTTGAGAAAGAGTGCCGTAGTGCGAAAGAATGTGATTTCACATATGCAGGTAACAAACAGCTTGAAGAACCTGTGGAGGAATTTCATTATGATTTGGTAAAGTTACAAAAATTTGTTGTTAATAATTTGGAAAAATTAATCACACGTTTAGATGTTGATGCGGAAGAGGATAATCCAAAACATTATGATGAGTATAATCTCCTGTGCAATAATGAAAAATGTCATTGCTTCACATCAGCAATAATAGAAACGACAACTATGAACAGCACAATGACGACGTTAACAAATATAACAAAACCGTTACATGTGTCGGCGATTATAAAAAATAAACCACGTAAAATGGAGGATCGTCATGTGTGTCTGGAACGTTTCAGTGAGATGTATCAGTTAAAACAATCTTATAGTTTTTATGGAGTCTTTGATGGTCATTCGGGCACTTTAGCTGCCAGTTATGCTGTGAATCAGTTGCCTTATTTGCTAGCGAAACAATTAAAGGTAACTCAGACGAACGAAATCGATATCCGAGAGGCTTTTGAGTCCAGCTTTCTGCAGACGGATCGTATGTTTGCGCGCAAACGCATTTCTAGCGGCACAACTGCGGTATGCGCACTTTTAACGCACACAAATCCTAACCATTTGTACATAGCTTGGGTAGGTGATTCAAAAGCATTGCTTGTTGGTATTAAGGCCAGTCTACAATTGGTAAAGCCACACAAACCTGATCTAATGGATGAACGTAAACGTATTGAGTGCAATGAAACCGGTGGTGCTGTGATGTTTGTGCAGGGACAATGGCGTGTTAATGGCATACTTAATGTCTCGCGTTCTATTGGCGATTTCTCGGTAAGTGCTGTTATAGCAGAACCTGATATTGTTGATGTCGAAATAACTGCCGAACATGATTTCCTTGTTTTGGCCACAGATGGTCTTTGGGACCACGTGGCTGAACAGCAAGTTATTGATGCTATATACACTGCTTTGGCTATTGCTGAACAGAAAGTCGAAGACATTCCAAAAATTTTAATCGATTTAGCGAAAAAAGGTGATTCACAGGATAATATAACTGTGGTTATTGTTTTTCTAAAAGAACGCCAAAAAATAGTGGAGTGTTATAAAAAAAATTGAATAATTTTACTTTTACTTTTCTTGAATGCTTCAACAGTTGCATTGACAATAGAGGTTGGCAATCTATGAACTCGATAAAATAAGTAAGAGATGTATAATGTAAATGATATATTCCGTACAATTCCTGAGGTTTTTTGTTGTGTGCATACGTGAAGTAAATGCCTTTCGTGGCTTATAAGTGCTTTAGTAAACTATGTAATAGCAATGTCTGTTAAAACTTTATTGAAATACCCAATTCGATATATGTAGCTTTCCTAAAATATAATCGTAGGTTTCTAATTGCAAGTACTTGCCTGCATTATCAGATTTAAACATACAACTGCTAAAAACCCAGATCAAGTGATAATCACCCATTAGCAGGCAAAGAAGCTGTTACAGACTTATTCCTTTACAGTGAGGCTTTTGAGTGTAGAAGGTCGTAGAAATGAATAAATTTCAAGTCTGAACAAGTCAAGTACCTCTCATACCATAGACGAGTAGTTATTGTTTATGTCAACTTACGGATGTTGCAAATGAGATGTTAATTTCAAGCGAATGATGGTGTTATGTATCAGTGTATAATCGTCAGTAAAAAGCGGTCTGAATGGTGTAATGAAGACAGAAGGGGGTGTCGTTTTTCTTATACGTTTTTTCCCTTGTTATTTTATTTATCATGTCACCTATAAGCGGATGTTGTTTACGTTACATGCATAGTTTGAGAATATCAAACATATATAACTGCCTGCAGCTTAAAACAGATATAAGCGAGTCCATAATATTAAATCTGGAGCAAATGCAATTGATTTTTAAGCTATTTTTCAAAATTTATACAGGTATATATGAATATTGCAGAGAATATAAGTAAAATATAATATTTGCCAATGTATATTATATTATATGATATTATATCTATATTTCATCATGAAGCCGGGGTGAAGAAGGTTCATATCACTGAGATATGTTTTTCTCTGAGGAAATTAATCATTCTCAATGTCTATCCTAACTGCCGCTCTATTCCAGATAACATAACATCGTTCAATTGTTTTTACACTCTAATGCACACAGAAATTTGTACCCTATTGATTTATGGTTTGACTCCGTTGAGATGGGAAGATTTTTTTCAGCAAGACCTTGGTTCAATATCCATACGTATTTCAAATATATGCAACATAACTATTTTGTTACAACACGTCTAAACTAAATACTAAGATTCGTTATAATACCATTGGAGAAAATAGTAGAATTATACAAGCTTGACGACTACTTGTCTATTTTGGATAATATTTTATGAAACTGTGAGGGCTGGAGCATGATTGTGAGAAAGCTAATGATTATATATAAATCATCTACAGCGTCTATTAAGTTAAAGTGTAATAAATGGCTTGAGTTATATTGTTTTTTGCCATTTAAGAGAAGAGTAGTTGTGTTAACTATTCAGGTTATGACGTTGTTGTCAGCGATAGATAATATTGAAACATCGATTAAGTTTCGAATTTTGTTAGTTAAAAAACATTTGTAAGTCTATAAGTGTATATTATGTTTCAACTTTTTTCATATATAGATCTAAGTAGTAATTGTGGTGTTGAAATTTAGACAACTCTAGTGTATGGAATATATTTTAAATTTCTTAAACACCTGAACTTTATAAAATATGTATGATTTGCATTTGTACATAAATACAAAAATTTTTTATATAAAAATTAATTCGAAATAATACAGAATAGCGTATTCAGAAATTATTGGAGCCTGTTTAAGTAGAAGTTGTAAATTTAGATTATTAATTTTTATAAAATAAACCATTTTAGGGACACTAACAGCGAATATTTTATTCAATAAATATGAACACTTTATATAAAATATATATAAATAAATATTTGTATATATATTGTTTTTAAATTTGCAGAAATGATTGCCTTTTTAAGCTTTGAAGTTATTTTTGAATTGTTATTTAAATGCTATGATCTTAGCCAATATAGGCTAATGTTGTTGGATTGTAAATTTTGTGCCTAAGCGCTACAGAAATTTTAAATTGATATAATATTTTAATTGGTTTTTATTTTATACGAAATAACAAACAAAAAAAAAACAAAAAAATTATAAATAAAAAAAAAATAAAAAAAAAAATCTTAAAGTGCTCATTAAAAATTTTTTTAACAAAAGTTCAAATTTTTAAACACAATATTTTATATCAAATACACACAAAATATAAGTTTTAATTTGTATATACACATTTCTATATTCATATATAAAAATATATTTATATATAATATATGTAGTCTGAAACTAGAGCCCAAAACTAAATAATAAAACTTTATATTTCATTTTGCAGAAAGTAAATAAATATATAAATAAATATATTAAATGAAATAATTATTTATAAAAATAAATTGGAGTTTTCAATATATGACAATGACTTCCAATAGCATAAGATCTGTATATTTATCGGTATCTGCATTTAAAACTAATATAAATTTATCATAAAAAATTAAAAAATTATTTTATGTACATATATATATTAGCTTTCAATAGGAATATAAGACTCATGTAAAGATACCGAATTAGAGCTATATTCTGGATCAATGTTAATTATAAATCCCGATCAAAATAGTGCAAAATATATATGTTTGAAATAGAACAAAAAAATTTTATCCTCCAATGCAATAGTTCGAGATATATATTTCTTTGATATGTTTAATATGTCTTGTACAATAATACAATGTCCAATATGAAATATAATTTTTAAGATAAAAAATATTAGCTTTATTTTAAAGTTAACAATACTTTGTTATATTATTTTCTATAATATTATTTTTTTTTCAATTATTTTTTTTTTACATGCAATTTAATAAGGCTTAATATTAACATTTTAATTAGTTGAATTTTGAATATATAAAAATTTTTATTTATAATTGATTTTACAAAAACTATAATTTTTAATGTGTTAATAATAACCAATATGTATATAGAATTAAGTTATATATAAATATAAAATATATGTGTATATATAACTCTATTATATTTATTAACAAAAAAAGTTGATGGAATAAAACTTAAACCCCACTTTAAATTATGTACCTATTTACAATTATATACATATAAATACATTATACAAAATGTATAAATCACGAACAACAGTTTAATATAATGATATTTGAATATTATATTATACTATAATTTTTTTAAACAAATAAAATATTTAAAATTATTCAAAAGGCGTTTCTATTATATAACCATATATAACATTTACTTTATTTAAGATGTTTAATTAACTTTAGCGTAAATATATTACACTTAAAATATCTACGAATGTCGGAACAATTAATGAAATACAAATAAATAATTTTTTACAAGCTTGCAAAGCATTCATTAGTAAGAATTTGTCAAATATTGTGGCACATTTATTTTTTTTTACTTTCTTCTTTTTTTTAAAGAAGCATTCATGCTTTTACATGAATAAGCATGAATGTAACTAAATGTTATTTTACTTCGATGAGAAGTAAAATAAATAACTCCTGTCATCTTTTTTTTTCATTTTTGTTATACACAAAGGCAAATTATACAAAATCGAACAAACGATTATGAATAATACACAGGTAAGCTAAGATTGGAGTGTCATATTTGTGCACCAAACCTTCCTTAAGATTATCAGTTCGCTAATCCTGAAGAAGGGAGAAGTTCTAAAGATTTACTGCACGTATAGCGTCATTTTGAGAAGGTGTGACTCCCCCATTCCATCAACTTGACAAGTCTTTAAACTCGATATCTACTCAACTTATCAGCCAAATAAGCACAAACCAAACTGGATTTATTCCGAAAAGGTTTTGCATAAATCATATCAACCCCGTCCGTATTATCACAGAACAATCTAGTTCCTGTTTATTGATTGAAAAAGCCTTTGACGCCATTAAACGAACATTGAAATGGTTCGCGTTAGAAGTCCTAGGCATACCCGAAAAAATGATTAAACTTATTAAAAACAGCTATGAAAACGGTACGTTCAAAGTACCTTATGAAGGAATGCTGAACGGAGAAGTGGTGTCAAGCAAGGTTGCGGCCTCTCGCCTCCTCTGTTTATTACCACTCTAGACGTTGTTTTCGAGTAGATCAACGAGCGTCGAATCGGTATTAACTGCCGCCTGAACAGCAAACTCGGCGAGCCATCATACGCTGATGACGTAGTTCTACTTATACAAGCAAAGGTTAACATTACATCTGAGTCTTTCCGTTAAGTTTGGTTAAAAATAAACATAGCGAAAACAAAGTGCGTGCGCATTAACACGAACAGAAAATAGAATTCAGAAGGCACGGACAGCTTTTAGAGCATTTAATAATGTTTGGAGGTCAAACGTAGTGCAGCAGAAAACCAAATTTTTTATTTTCAAGTTGTGTATTAAGTCAGTGCTGCTATATGGCTGCGAAATTTGGAGTGCGTCGCAGGCTGTTATGTCAAAAACGTAGACCTTTTTAAATAGATGTTTACGCACCATTTTAAGAATATGGTACCTCAGGATTATAACGAACGATCGTTTCTGACAAGTGACAACGCAGAAACCCATATAACCCAAAGGATATCAGGCTGCGCAAGTATGGATGGGTAGGACATACATTACGTAAACCATCCGAAAAAATAACGTACACCATGCTCAGTTGGAATCCCCAAGGACACAGAAAAAGACGTGAGCAACATGGCGCAAGGCAGTTGCTAGCGAAACAACAAAAATATTACTGAATTAAGATGTATAGCGAGGAATCGTTAAATATGGAAAAACTTTCCTGCAAATATTTGTGAATAGGCTAAGTTTTATGCATATAAATTGTATAGAACAATTATTATTATTAATAATAATAATATAATGCTAAAAAAGGGGCTCTAAAAGTTAAAAATCTGATACTTATGTCGTAGTAAAGTTTCCTTCCCATCGACAGAGTCATCACTTTGACAAAAATCGTTAGAGGGTACACCAAGTTTCACAGTATGACAGTAGCCTGTCAACGCCGGAAAAGTAGTACTAAGTTTTACTTTAGTTAAAGCAGCTGACGAAAATCTTCATCTACTCAGACTTTACTTGCTAGCCATAATTAGTCACCTTTGTTTGTCATTTTAATTATTGCAAGAAAGATACCTATATCTCAGCAGTAAATACTGGTGCGCTGCATACTTATTTTGGCAAATTAGTCGGCTTTATAGTTGCTTGAGAGCGTCTCGTGTCCAGGTACCCATATTAGTACCTTGGGCACTAATAAGCTCAGATAACGTATTGAGAGAGGCTTGACACTCTTGAATCAGAAGAGAAATAGGTGTAACGCTTGTTAGAGACTTTATTGTAGTTTAGTTGTTTGGGAAAATTGCGACATAAATGTCAGAAACTTTTTTCTCTGTCTAAAAGGCACTGCAATTTATTAGAAACGAGTGCACAACCGACTTTTTTGTTTAATTAGAAGCAGTAAGTGTTGGCAAATACTGCTCTATATTGAGTTGAATAATTTATGCTGTGTGTGTGTTAGAGCCGAAACTTTGATTGAGTATAAACCAGCATAGTCAATAGGATTAACGAACGGCAAATCTTCATTCAATGTACTTGCGTGCCCAAATTCAAATCTTGATTACCGGTTTATACCGTTAAGTCTAGTTACTACTAACTTTACTTAATGGTTTATCCTTATCTTGGACGGCAAACAATGATGTAACGTGAATACAACTTTTGTGGGGTGACTTATAGAGCTCTAGAAACTTGCTATGCTCGTATCTTTCTTACTAATTACACACAGAGTGTGCTCTGTTTTGGTTTGCGTTGGATGTAGATTACATTATACGCAGTGGTATTAGTTTATATTTAAGACTCAAATTATTAATTGTAAATATTTGTAATTTTGATTTTTAATTTAATCTATTTATAATTGTATTTCACAAAAGTTTCGAAATCCACTAACAAGTACAAATTGCATTTGTACTTTCATAGCTTTTAGATATGAATAGTATTGATCATGAAGAAATTAAGAGGACAATACAATGTAAGTACGCTAATATATAAAGTTCGTGTGAAGAGTTTTGTAATTTAGATTGACATTTCTTGTTGATTTATCTAAGCACTCAAGGATTTGGTTTAAATGATTTTAAATTATATATGAAGAGAAATTTTTTTCATATAAATTTTGAAAAGTTGTTGAAAGTAACATGCATGAATATAGACAAATAAAATCATCAATAAAATAAAATGTTAAAACAAAAAATTTAAAATTAAGTGATTAAAAAAATAAAATTTGCTAATGGTTGTCTCCGATTTAAGGAAAGATGTTTATTTTTTAATATATGCAATTCAGCACTATTAATAATAATATAGAAATTACTTTGGTTTTATTTCGTTTTTTATTAATTTTTATTGGTTATTTTTCGTTGATAAAAATTTATAAAAATATTTATTTTCCATGAATTCAATGTGTACTTATGTAGACATTTTAATTTTAAATAAAAAATTTTTCGTTCAATTCACACACATAATTTATGCAACCCTGTTAAGTTAAGTTTCGTTAAGTTTGGTGTTGTTATTTTGTTTTGGAATGCAGAAAGAATTTTCGCACCTGAGTGTTGGCTGCCAAAAAGTGAATTTTGTAAATAAACGAATGAAGAGTGAGCGACAAGTCAATTATTTAAGGAAATTTTGAAAATGATATGTGATTTTTAGTTAGTCTAAGCGATAAATACAGTATAAAAGTTAAATTAAAAATGAAAAAGTATGCAGACGTCCAAGTCTATGTCTTTTGTGTAGAATGAGGAGGCAAGCGAAACTCGGCGACGTCAGCAGTGAATTGAGCAGCGACGTGTTAGAGCAATTAAAGTAAACAAATACTTAATTGGTCAGGTGTGATAACTGTAACCTTACCGTCATTTAACAAAACAAACAAAATATAATAATACTTAGTTATTTTGGTTGTGAGTGAAATTATTTTAAACTGTTTAAGTGCTGACGTACGCAGTTGCAGCTACTACCACACATTCAAAGCCATCAACGATTAATCCATAACAAAAACAAACAACATTCGAATACAATGAAGGTACATTTTAGGGAACATTACGGCACCAAAGGCGAGGAAATATTATATGTAACTCCAGCTGGTAAGATAAATATATCTATATAATGTTTAAACAAATGAACCAAAGTAATTATAATAATCAATAAAAAATAAATTCCAGATCAAAGTAGAATAGTGCGTGTGCCGTTGCGCGGCGACAAAATAGTGATACAAGAGAAATTTTTTTTATTTCGTATATTACAAAGTGTTTTCCTGCCCAAAGGCTATCCAGATAGTGTTAGCTGCGATTATGCTGCGTATCAGGTGTGGGATACTGTACAGGCATTTTGCAGTACAATATGTGGTAAAATTACGCACAACGTTTAGTGTTTTTCATTTTCGTTTTTTCGTTTTTCGTTTTTCGTTTTTCCGTTTTTCAGTTTTTCAGTTTTTCCATTTGTTGGTAAATAAAGAGAATAATTAATTATTTATATAACTTCTAGGCACGCTTTGTACGCATGCTATACTAAAAGGCATTGGAGTGGGTAATGATAACGTAAATGCGTATTCGGCTACTGCTACATGGATCTTAAAAGAAGGCAGCGGCCATTTGGGTCGCATATTTTTCTCTTGGTGGAAAGGCTCGCAATTGGATGTGGATTCAAAAAAGTGGCGCTTACGAGCTGACTTCTTGAATGATATGGCAATGGGCATTGAAATTTATGTGCTTCCCAAATATCCACATCTAAGCACGCAAATACTTTGTTGCTCGACGGTTTTAAAAGCAATTGTTGGTGTCGCTGGTAACATAATATATTTATTTGTATAATATATATATAAAACCATGAATTGATTTGTTTTATAATAAAGGCGGTGCCACGCGAGCTGCACTCACACAGCATCATGCTATACGTGGAAATCTGGCTGATGTAGCTGCCAAAGATAGCTCTCAAGAAACGTGTGTCAATTTAGTTGCTTCTTTTATTGGACTATATATGCTAACGTTAATAAAAAGTCAACCGTAAGTGTAAAAATATGGTTTCACATTAAATTTTAAAAAACGTAAGTTCTGAAAAAAATGCGGGTAGTAGTAAAAGGAGTTCTTTAATTCATTATCCTTATAGATATGTGACAGCATGAAAGAAAAGGTTCTACTGATAATTTAGTAATATTATTTTTTATTTTGTCTGCATTACATATGTTTTGAAATCAACATATTAGTGTAACTCTTAATACTATATTATTCCTTTGATTCTTAACCAATATTAACATAATTTTATGATATAAAAGTAAATAATCTTTGCACAATTCCTAAACGAAATCTTGAGGATAAACATCGAGTGTGATAGTGTCAGTTCATAATTATTAAGTTCATGAGTTTGGTCCGAATGTTTACATATTATGGTAACAAAGGCGTTTATAACATTTAAGTCTTAAGAGAGTTTCTTTTATATGAAATTTTGTTTAACTTCAACGGTACTGTTAAATATTGCTCATAATATTATAATGTGTACGTATTTAGTATAAATATCACAGCATCGAACCGGAACCGAACCGAAAACCACATAGTTTGATATCTGTGCATCTGTTTCTTCAGTTGTTGATTATTTATTTATTTTTTTGAAAAATACTTTAAATTGATTAAAAGTTATTATCATTAATGGGTGTTCCTTTGAAATGATGGAGTATTCGGGATGCAAACGAAGGTAGTAATATTTCAGTTAATGCCAAAAACATTAAATTGTAATGCCTGAGACAGCCTCTGAAATTATAACTAAAATACATACAGTCTTTGATAAAAATAATTTCTTTAAAAGTTGTCATTGCTACTCGATACCCTGATAAATATACATTAAGGACGTAACAATATGCGTTATATATTGTTAATTTGTTTATATATTTTAGGGTGTTGTACGGCGTCTTTGCTGTTGTTATCCTCATACATTTATATGCAAATCTAAAAGCTGTCAAAGCAGTTTGCTTGCGTACTTTTAACGAATCTCGATATCTGATAGCATTGGAAGAGTTCTTCAGATCAGGACGCATGCTTTCGCCTGCACAGGTAATACAAATATTTAATATAACAAAATCAAACATAAATATTTTCATTGCTTTAGGTAAACAAATTGGAACGTGTTACCATAGGACAAACTGTATCAGTGTCATTGAACTTGAACTTGGGTTTATCGATTAAAAACTTGATTGATGAGTATCAAAGTAGTCATGTGATAGAAAACATTGTTTCTTCATTTGATCCACGTGAACACTTTATCATAGCTGAAAACAAAAAGTTTTTAGGAGTTTATTTGCATTTTGATGCGAGACCACAAGACGTGCTTAAAGCATATTTTTTTGCTGTATCATATTTGCAAGATCGTAACCAGATCAAAGAAAAATATTGGGAAGTGCAAGCTAAATGGCAGGAATTCCAAAATTTGGCTCAACAAGAGGGTATGTGTTATTAAATGAAATATGTTGTGGAAATTATTTAAATAAATTATATGTATTTTTAAGGTTGGCTGGTAAATCATCATTTACTTATGGTAGATGAGTATCGCTTAGATTGGAAGATTTAAAATATGCAGTAAACAAATTAAGTAATTTTGTTTTTAGAAACATAAACGTTTGGACCAAAATGAAAATGCATTAACTTAATAGGCTCCTAATTGTTTGGCAGGGAATCTCTACGTAACAGTAAAATCCGATAAGTACTAAATACAACTAATAACTATATAGATATTATTTATATACTCCTTCATGTTAACCTTACCTTGTGTTTGATTTAGCCGTTAGCCAATTTTTGCGTTTTTTAGTCGAATTTTAGAATCTCAAATTTTTTAATCTTAAATTCAACCAAATTTCCTTAACGGGTTGTAAATCATGAATTTATTCTAAAAATCTCGAAATTTATTTTATGTTATATAACTTGATACTGATCAGTTATTGTGTTGAGTAGTTCTAAGGTATATTTATCTGTTTTTTATTTTTTTATGTGAAAATAATTGATATTAAATACATTTTTTTATATATATTTGTTGCCATGTCGTTCCGCCGTCTTCGCGAACGCTAAAACTCCTTTATATATATTTATTATTGTCTTACCTTATCCATTGTTTCATTTTTTATTTAGTTATTGTGAGAGTAACGCCTAATAGTCTAATGAAACACTGAAAGATTTTGTTGGTATAGACTTATTAATAACGTTTTCTTGAGACTTGTAGCGCTGGTTCTTGTCAACTCTGAACATCCGCACAATAGGTGTGAGATTCACAGTTCCTTTTTTCTTCTTAGCAAAGTTTCTTTAATTCTTTTTATGCAAACTTACATAGTTGATAATTTTATATAAAATTCTTAAAAATGTTAAAGGAAACATTTTATTGATATTATGTCTGACAAATATTATATCAAGTTTTTATAGACATTTTAATTTTTTAATTTTTTAGTTTTAATTAAAATTATAACTTTTATTAATAAAATTTATTCTAAAATGAGAAATTAACAAAAAGTTAAAACTTTTTTCACATTCCAATTTTATTGGTTATGTGAATTTGATATTAATAACATATCTTTGCAACAACAATTATTATTATACAATATTACTATACAATTCCATAAATAATTAAAATGTATAAAATTAATTAGCAAATCAAAGAGTAGAAATTTTAGCTTAAAAGCTGCAGTTGTACGTGTCACTTAAGTCTAATTAAGAATCAATTTAAACTAGATTTAGACGTTAGTACGTTAATTTAATATTATATTATTTTTTACTAGGTTTATAGCAATTTTAAATAAGTATCTTTAAGTTATAAAGATTTCATTAAAAAAATCAACAAAAATATATATATATATTCTTCCATATATAAGCAACTTTCCTGCCTTAGCACCTTTTAAAGAAAAAAGTGTACATTTATATTAAATTAATATAATTCTTAAATTCTATATTTAAGCATAGTACGTTAAGTAATTGCAGTTTTATAAGTGTGTCGTATTGTGTTTATGTAGATGCTGATATGTACGAAAAGATATAATTTCTATTATTGATTTTTCTTAAACTAAATATAATTAATTATAGGAAAAAGTTGAAAATTACGTTGCTTAGTAACGATTTTGTGAGAAATTTAAAGCAATAGTGAGCTTAGCAGAATTAATTATATTAAATAATTTAAACACTTTCATAGTTATAGCTGTGTTCACATTAGTAGTGTATATTTACTATAAGAATCTTAAAAATTCAAAAGTAGTTGTCGAAATTGTGTTCTGTGCTCTGTGTTCTGTTTTCTTTTTATATATAAGTAGAAAAATGAAAAAATTTACAAAAAATACCTTTTTAAATATATAAAATTGTGTATTTTAATTGCAGTTTAATAAAAATACATGTGGTTGTTAACTCATCTATTTACCATTTAGTCATTAGTGCAGGTCAATTAAATGTAATATAAACATTATTAAACAAATCCATTCTAAAACGGGAAATTTACCTGGAATGTGTTTGCAGTTTGGACTACACTATACTAGTACACTAGTAAATTTATTTACCTTTTGGTGGTTTGGAATTTCATTGTATTTCAGTTCAATAGTCTTCTAAGAATCTACACTAACTTAGGTCGGTTTTCTCGATTGACGACAAGTATCTATTGCATTCAGTTTTATTAGTTTACACAGCTTAGAGATATAAATATGTGCAAAAAAGAAATCGTAAATTTATATTTCTAATACAATCCATACTTTTCCGTACATAAGTTTGGAGACATTTTCCCATATGTTTTGAAAAACCCCAAACCCTCTCCCACACAAACATATGATTTGCCTCACATGGAAAATCAAATAATGCATTTATTTTGTATTTTAAATTGTATTATTAGAGATGTTTATGAAGAGTATTCATTTCAGTTCACTGTTATCCACTTATCATGTTATGAATTTATTATGTTTTAATAGTAATGGGTCGCGTCGAGTATTGTGCTGGTTTCGAAAGGAATTAGATGAGATAAATGATACCAGAATAGTTTTATTTGGCAGTTAAGGTCGTAGATTACTGTCAAGTATGGTAGAGCCAAAACAAACGTGTAGGGCTTTTTCTCATAGCAGATCACTAATTCGATATATTCAATCAAAAGTAATATGAAAACGAAAACGTGAAAATGAAAAAGAAAATGACCTTTAAAATACCAACCGTTTGAGAAGATCCTTTATTTAACAAAATCAGATCGATGTTATGATGTGGCCAGCACAAACTTATCTAATTTAAATCCTATTGAAAAGACGTTATGGACGGAGCTTCTGAGGCGAAACCAAAAACTGTCAACGAGTTGTACCAAGTACTACATTTACTAATTTTATTTAAACGCATTTTTAACAGACGTGTGAAAGATGTTTTCTTATGCTATTCGTATTCGTGTTTTCTTTTAATTTTCTTTTCCTTTTTAATGTTATTAGAATACTATGTTGGTTATAAAATTTTATGCGTCTTTCTTGCATAAAATACGATATTCGAATATGTTTGTGTTTGAACGTTTGGCTCAAATATAGCTAGCTTTTCGAAAATGTTAGAACCTGTGATGCTTAAGCATTCAATGTTATATGTTTTTGTATAAAACGGAAGCAAACAAATTAAAATGGAAATGGACTACCAGTTCTTGCAGTTCCCATTCTCACAGCTAACGAATATGGACAAATACGTAAAGTTTATTAATAATAAGAAAAAGGTCTTTTCTAATCTTTCAAAAGTATAACCGACTCTTGTTTATGAAATATTCAATATAAATGTCGGAAAATTATGATTTCCTGTTGATCAAAATAACTGAAATTTTTTACGAGAGAGAGAGAAGAAAGAGAGAGAGAGAAGAAAGAGAGAGAGAGAAGAAAGAGAGAGAGAGAAGAAAGAGAGAGAGAGAAGAAAGAGAAAGAGAGAAGAAAGAGAGAAGAAAGAGAGAAGAAAGAGAGAAAGAGAAGAAAGATAGAGAGAGAGAGAAGAAAGAGAGAAAGAGAAGAAAGATAGAGAGAGAGAGAAGAAAGAGAGAAAGATAGAGAAAGAAGATAGAGAAGAAAGAGAGAGAGAGAAGAAATAGAGAGAGAGAGAGAGAGAAGAAGAGAGAGAGAGAAGAAGAGAGAGAGAGAGAGAAGAAAGAGAGAGAGAGAAGAAAGAGAGAGAGAGAAGAAAGAGAGAGAGAAGAAAGAGAGAGAGAGAAGAAAGAGAGAGAGAGAAGAAAGAGAGAGAGAGAGAGAGAGAAGAAAGATAGAGATAGAAGAAAGAGAGAGAGAGAGAACAAAGAGAGAGAGAGAGAACAAAGAGAGAGAGAGAACAAAGAGAGAGAGAGAACAAAGAGAGAGAGAGAAAACAAAGAGAGAGAGAGAGAAGAAAGATAGAGAGATAGAGAGAGAAGAAAGAGATAGAGAGAAAATAGAGACAGAGAAACGAGAGAGAGAGAGAGTTTCTATTAAAACTTTCATACATACATATATGAACACAGCATATTTATTACTAAAAAATATAAAGCATACCTAACGTATTCCAAAATAAATAGTTATTGATGGGGAAAATAATAAAAAATAAATAAAATCGTAATTAAAAAATATTATAAAACATATACACTTGTAATAAAAATATTTTGAATTGAATATATACGTTTCAGAACGCATGGAAAAGAAGTTAGGAAACCTATATTTTACTATTCACTTTATAAAAACACAAATCTTGAATATTTTATAATAAAAAAAACTAAATATATATAGTATAATTTAAATTTTCATAAAATGTATATTTGTATACTTTTAAAGCAATTGTATATTTAAATAATTTTTAAAAGTAATTTATACAATTTAAAAAAAAATATGCTATATTTTTGAAATGTTTCATGGGTTAATTATTATAATATGTATAAATTCTGAATTTTTATTATATAATTAAATAAATATAAGAAACAATTACTTACACATCCTCACACCAAATCCATTCACAAAATGCAACGAATATATATTATGAAATGAAATGTCAATATTATTTTATTAATAATGTTTTTGAAATAAAATTAGCAGTTATTGTTGCTTTTTGTAGCTTATATTTGTACGCATGCTAAATGGAATATTAGTTAAAATAATAGTTGCTTTTTGAAACTTATATATATATATATATAAGCACAATTGAATTTATAAATCATTTGCAGATAAAAAAAATATTAAGAAGCGTTTCTTAACAAAAAAAAATAACATAGTAACATAGTATATAAATCATTATGCACACATAGTGAAAAAATAAATTTGTTCTCTCTATAGACGGATGTGACGATTTGAGCTGACAAACATTATTATTAGATTAGAGGTCATTAGATGCTTATTTTAAACCACGCGCATCAGAAATATTCGGCTGAGATGCATTTAACATTTAATAGGAAATTTCTTGAAACTTGCCATCAATATTCTATAAATATCATATACACGCACCACTTCCAAATTCCCAAAATCCCAAAATCGAACTTTAACGATCTATAGTCTTCGTAGCACTCACCGAGCTTTCTTTAATCGTCTCATATCGTCACACGTAATCAGTTACTGTAGATATATAAGCTTATATACAAATATTTTTGTATGGTTTGTCAATTCCCTTAGAGTATTTTATCAGATTTGTAATTAGTTAATTATTTCTCAACACTAGTTTTGTTTGTAATCAAATTTAAGTTATTCCTGAAGTTTTTGAAATGAAATGTTATGGAGAGAAGCGCTTCCATTTGTTAAGAAATCTCAATATATTTATAAAATAGTTAATTAGTTTTAATTACTTATTTAAATATGGTTTTTGTTTTTATATTTAACGCATTATTTTATTAAATAATTTTGACAATATTATAATTAGTAACATTGATATTGATTAGAGTCTCCGAATATTTGTTATAAACATGTAATCAGTTAATAATTAAATCAGTATATCAATTAATAATTTAATTAGTCCATATTAGTTAATATTAGTTAATTAGTCAATAAATGCATTAGTTAAGTAATTACAAATTTAATGATTTGATTTATTTTGTTAAAGCTTTCAGCAAATTTCATATGCCAATAGTGAAAAAAAAAATTGATTGTAAAAGAATTTTCTAAAATTGTTGATATGATATATATACTAAAAAAAATTATATATATTCATTAAATAAGTGAAAAAAATCATGGTGATGTATAAAAAAGGGAATTATAAAGCAATTTTACATACAAACTCTAAAAAGGTCTTTTATTTTTATTAAATATTTTAGATATAGTAAGTTCTCGGACATGCAAATTTGGTTAATATGAGTATCCAGCTAGTTCGCCAATACAGATGTAGTCTACACCAATGTTTCTCAAGTGAAAACGTA